TCCACTGCCCATAATGGCGTTACTGAGGTTAAAGATGGACATGCCAAATGAAGTCTTTCCCTCGAACTGCAGTAAGAACACAACGGAGGAAAACACAGCCAAATCATTTCAGGAACAAAAATCACATCAACAACATCAACAGTACAGTGTCTGGTTTTCCAGCTAATCCATCTGACTTCTACATTTTCTAACACACTCACATCTGTAAAGTGGTTTTCTTTTTTGACTCCAGGTTTATGTGGGAGAAACTCCTCATGTTCAGCCAGGGCTTCCAGCCCATCAAACCTACAATGGGAAAGAAAAACATTGGTTCAAATTAAAAAACACACAAACGCGCACGAAGGGAGCTACAAAAATACTTTAGCTTTTATATGTGGTGGATATAAAAAAATATTATTTTAAATTGAACAACTTTGCTGTGATACGGTGTCAGTAATTACTTTTTAGTACAGTTATGAGTCTTACCCATCATCCCTGCTGTGTCCATTCATCTTCTGAAGCTCCATTGTGGTTGCTGGGGTTGTGACTTGAGAAACTTCTTGAGATCAACTTTTGCTGGACTGTAAAAAACCCTCTGGGCGTAAAGAGAAAACAAATGTTTAATATATGGTGTACTTACTTATCAACATCTCCTTCAACATTCCGCCATCATTTATGCTTGGATAAACTTCGGTGTCAGCTGGCATCGTTTTTGCACAACAAACACAACATTTTAACACACCTCATGCACTGATCTTGCCAACTTTCCATTATTTGTGAGGGAAACTGCGAGCAGGCTGACCTCAGCAAGAGTCTTTAAGGCTTTTTACAATGTTTCTGTATGCATCACATTTTCTGAGATCCTGTCCCAACTTGTTAAAGTTAAAGATCTCAGAATGGGTCTTCCATGAAGCTGAAGGAGAATTGTGATACGTAATACTTTTATGAGGCGGATGTAAGGCATTGGCTTTTGTCTACAATACAATAACGGTATAATGCCACAGTGACAGCAATGGTGTCGAAATACCCTCAGCCTTTTCAAGGGTAACTATACTAGTTATTTGTACTTGAACAGAAGGCAGCCTCAATATGCCTAATGTAATAAAAGCATAAAATGCTATGTGGCTTCAAAAGGGCAGACCTATTTATAAAGTATTGAGACACACACACCACTGTAATTTTTCTGCTTGCCAAAGACAACAAGAATGTTGCTTTTTTTTTCTTTTGGCAATGCTTTACTTTGGAGTTCTGCTCCCTGCTTCAGATATGTGGATAAAAAAACTGTGGTAACTGTGGTAGTTCATAAAATAAAATTTCAGCTTAAAGGGACACTTTTGCTTGGGATGTACGTCCATTATAAAGCTTGTGTGACATGAAAGGCTTTAAATAACAAATGTTGTCAGAGGACTTATGTTGCTCTAATCTGCTGTGGGCCACACAAAGCTGGCATGGACGGACTCTGGGAATGAGCGTAGGTCTGTGCTCCTGCCATGGGGTCATGGGATCCTTCCCTTGTCTGTGGGTCAGTCTGCCCTAAGGACTTTCACATCTGACCCCCGAGGACACACTCACACTAGATTGTGTCATTCCTTAAGAGTTTCACACGAAACCACATTTTTTGTATTCCTAAACGCCCATTACTGAACAGGCCTGTTGAAGTACAATAATTCATACAGATTGGAGGTTGATAGTAATGGGCCACAGAGATAAACAAAGGGTTCCTGTCTAAATGGTGCTATTTAGTCTAAATACAGGCTAGACTTCACCCTGCATACTGGCCTAAGGTCAAGTTTGGTTAGAGTAACTTTCTTTAGCTACATACCCGATGACTTTCCCATGGCCCATGTCCAATACACACAACCAACAAAGCATAGACTAGATGTTGGGAATAATTTATCATTTAACTTTCACAAAAAGACAGTTTTGATGAATAAATGACTACCTTCACATTGTAAAAGGCAGATTTTACAAGTGGGCTACTCACACATTTTCATGTAACCTGGTTAACTAGAAACGTGTGCCATTTACGATATTTAACTGGTCACAAGGGCAGCTCTTACACAGTGGAAACAATAAAAAGAGTGGAAAAAGTAATAAAAACAAAAAGTGGTCCTGTGTTTTCCATCTCTTTATACATCCATCTTTCTAAACAACCTACCCCATGTCTTTTACAAGATGTTGTAATTCAAAAAATATATTTAAGTATCACATTCAATAATCTATATAATAATTTTGTAAATGGAGAACACATATTAGAGTTAAACACAGTAGTATTACTGTAGCCTTACTGTCCAACAGTGCGTAGCGCATGCTTTCTGTCTGACGCAAGACCAGCTCACTATTGACAGCCCTTTCTTTCTCTTCCTTAACATCTAAAACACAAGGAAACACACACACATTTTATGGCAACTTACCCTTGTGGCCAAGAAGAAGGCTAGTTTTCTTTTCTAAATATTAACAGAATAAATCCTTTGCACAAGTTGACTCTTTTCTCTTCCAATGTTTATATATAGCTTTGTTCTTAGGAGCCTCTCCAAAGCTCCTTGGTAGTAAAGAGAGGAGAGAGTGAGAGAGATTAGAGGCTGGGAGGGAGTAAGCGGGAAATGGGAACACCCATACTTAACCCTTTGTTAAGCCTTTTACAGGTACTGTCTACCATTGCAAAGACTGTAGAGACTCACCAGGTGTCTACACTGAAAAGGTGTCAACACTGGTGTCTAAACAAATGGAAAAAATTGCAGTTGAAGTTCAAGGCTAAAAGGTAATCCCAGAAACCCATCCAACCAACAGGGCTTCTGCTGTTCATACTGAAGACTAATTACTATGTTATTACAGACTATGCAAGTTGAAAGGAGGGGCAAAGTGAGTGTCATCTGAGGGGGGTTTTGTTACACCATGGGCAGATACTCACTGACAGTTTGCATCCTGCTGGAAGTCACAGTGATGGTAATTAGCTTAGGAGATAAGTGCTTTTTTAAGATGGCCCACATGTGATTGTGCTTAAGACTGGAAACATTGTGCACGCTTACAAGTTATTATGCTCCTGATCCAAAACAAACGGTAGGACCTGACCTGACACAGTAGAAATGAATGAGTCATGCAGCGTTACTACTTCATCAGAACTGAAAGGTCAACCACTTCTCAGGGTCTTTCAGTTGGCAGATAAACCTAACTGAGATATGCTTGCACACCCAAGAAACACCCACATTTTCTTTATCTCACTAGGACACAAAGCCTTTACTGGAAAATGTGTCTTTCTGTTGTATAAAGATCTCATCTAGTGCACGTGGACATTATGGTAGATTCTATTTGTACCTCTTAAAGAATATTTAGATTAATTTTAACAAATAAACAAAAAAAAATGTAATATCCAATTCCACATTGCAACAATTTTCTCAAGCTATGTAGAGCAGTTTGCAAGCAAAAAATCTGAATCATGGTCTGTACAATCCGTGAATCTAGATAATGAAAAGATGAATGGCTTCCTCAGTCACCTTAAATGACCTTAGTGTCCTCAGTTAAAACAAGCAATTTGGGAAAATCCAGGACAAAGCAACCAACATATTCATTTACAAAATATCTGTAAAATAAAGTTCACCAGGAGACATTTTGTCTTGATAAAACCACACATCCATTTAGTGTTGTTTTTATACCAAACCCTCATGACAGTTTTTGGAGCCAGAAAGGTCTCCCATTTCAGTGAGTCATTTAAATTCCCACCTCTGTGCTGCGTATACTGCCAGCATGTCACAAAAGGAAAAGAGTGCAAATGAGAGTGTGAATATATCTTCAGCTGAAAAGTTAGAGCACACATCAACTGAAAAGCCTGTCATCCATATTTCTACTGTCAGTAAACAGTACATTATCAGTGTGGATAATGTTAGGTTTCTAACGTATCCCTCCGCCTCGTGTATGAATGGGAAACTGTGTCGTGGCCCAAATGCTACAGCAGATGGCCTGTGCTGAACTTGAGTCCCTCTTCTGGTACTCACCTCTCCAGTGTCAGTCAGACAGAGGGATGTCTTCAGTGTAGACAGAAGCAGCAGGGTAAAATCTGAAACTTGTTGGCTGGTCCACTTCCAACAAAAAAAACAGCTTTTTACAGAGCCAGGAAGTTATCTTCAGCTGTGAGAGGAGAAAGCAAAATGGGGAAAGGAGGGAGGTAGTAATAGCGCGCGTAAAGAAACATCATGCCATGTCACAAGTCTAACCACTCCCTTTTCCGACTGCTGCTTCTCAAGCTACACGTGGTGCTTTCTTACCTTGCGAAACACTGTAATCTAACTGTACATATTTGGACACTGGCAGGATTGATTATTGTGTTTTACCTCAAGAGCATTTTGGAATATTCAAACAGTGTTTCTAGTCAAATATGAGCCAAAAGCTGAGACTTCTGGGCCTACATTACAGTGGCCATACTGTGGCTGTGCAGCTGGTAGTGTCAATAAAATGGGTTGCTGTGGAAAGTTTCTGTCAATTTCTTCTCTAAGCTTCTGCTTTGTCTTCAGCTCACATCCACTGCCATCTAGTGGGCACAAAAACTAACACCCCCCCGCCCCCACCCAATACATAAATAAATATGAACAGCAATCAGTAAATTATATAAATACTGACATATTTTACCATCAGAACCCATATGATGTAACTCAACCATCCCTACAGATACACAGGCCAGTTTCATAGAATTCAGTATCAAATATTTAGAACTTGTACGATTGCAACTAACAATTATTTTCATTATTGATTATATCCTGATGAATACTTTCATAATTAAGTGAATAATCATTTAGTCTGTAAAATGTAATTTACCCAGGCCCAAGGTGATGTCTTCAGATTGCTTGTTTTGTACAACTACAGTTCACATACTAAGATATTCACTTTACGAAGATTAAAGCAGACAAAAGTTGCAAATCTTCACATTTGAGAAGCTCGAACTTGAGGACATTTGGAGATAAAAAATTACCTTTCTATTGACTGTCTAATCATTTTGGCTCAAAGAACAAATAAAACCAAACTCAAAGTAATACAAAACTACTGTCTTTATTGTTTATTTAATAAAAACATTGTGAAATGATGAGACATCTGTGAGGTAAAAAAAATACTTGTTTGAACTAGAGGTTTCGCTGATGAGTCAGGAAAAAAAAACTTGTGGTCCATACAGTAAACACGTCACTTCGCCTTGTCAACCCACGCAAAGTAATTACAGCGAGCTTCAGGGTTGGAGGCATGTCCCTGAGGACGGGCACAAACAAAGAACTGTTTGCCCATGTTTGGCCCCTCCTTTTTTACAGTACGAAGCACACAGGGTTCCCCGTGGACCTTACAGGAGGGTGGTGGGGGTGGTCCATGAAGCACTGACTTCCAAAACACTAACGATGCCCCCTTCTTTGCAGCTGAGTGTCCCACATTGGGCTGTGGGGTTAACTGTTTTGTCTTCATCTGTTTGTCATTTTCCTCTGTGGTGCTGCTGGTGCACAGCTGTGGGGAACAGTCCAAGACAAGCTCAGTATCTTCAGGGACACTGCTTGTCACCGAGGACACGTCCTCTCTGGTTGTGGATGCTTTTTGGGCAGTTTGTGATGAGGTAACTTCATCCAGGGGTGTTTTTTCACACTGCCTGACAGGGGCTTCAGTAGTGGGAACAACATTTGTGAGTTTGGGTTTGAAAAAGGAAAGGAGGCTGCCCTGTGGCTTTGAAGAAGTCTTTGCTGTTTTAGTCTTTTTCCCCTTTGGGGCAACTGAGTCTGATGTCAATAACCGTTTCTTACAAGAGATGTTTCCAGCTCCAAGTGGGTTTAAATTTTCCCTCCTTTCCTCCTCTTCTTGAGATCCAGGTAATGCATTACTCTGCACAGACTGACTTGATTTTTGGTCCACCTTGACAAGAAAGCGGGAGAGTTTCTGCTGCTTGCCAGCAAACTCTGGCAGGTAGCGGGTACAAAGCGGAGGAGGCTTGGAGCTGGGCAGGAGAGAGCAGCTCAGTTGCCCTGACACGGGGCAGTGGTCGGACCCCTCCACCTCTGGCATGATGTCTGCTGCCACAAACTGCTCCTCGGCTAGTTGGCAGTCAGCGAATATGTAGTCAATGCGCGTGCCGTAGTTGGTCTGTCGCGCTCCGGTGAGAGTGGACCAGCATGTGAAGGCGTTGGTGCGAGTTGGGTGAAAATAGCGAAAGGTATCCACGAATTTCCCGCTGTGGATGGGATCTGTTGAAGTTACCTCTGATTCTTCATCGAGTTCCTCCTCATTCTTTTCCTCTTCTTCTCTGACATGATGCAAAAAGCCATTCAGCCATTTCCTTCCGGGGTGTTCATCAAAATCATCCTAAGTAATGAGGAAAAACATAGTAGGCAGAGTTTCATCATTATGAATATGAATGCACTGTGCGCATTTGTCAGAAAAATAACACTGCCATTTGTAATATCAAAGGACAAATTCAACATTTTGGGAGACATTGTTTATGTCCTTTGTATCACTATCATGTCTGTTCGTTAAATACAGCGCTGATAGCTTAGCTTAGCATAAAGACTAGAAAAGGGGGGGGAACAACTTGTTTTTTTTTTTCTTCTCTTTATGTGCGGACTAAACACATGAGATATAACTTGTTAAACGCACAGTATGTGAAGTAGTGTGGGATCATGGGATGATTTATGTTTATAAACATGTTTATTCAAATTCACTGACTTCCTTCCTCAGTCTCTGTCATATCCCGTGTTTCCCAGGAAGTTATAGCAACTAAAACCAAATGAAACGCACCGTTACTTTGAAAACATTACAGATTTCTCTGGGTTTGAACATGATCGGTAACATTTGGGATAATGAAGTAAAAAAAAAAAAAAAAAAAAAAAAAATTTTTTAAAAAGGAAAAAAAAAAAAAAAAAAAAAAAAAAAAAAAAAAAAAAGAAGAGTGGTGTCAATCTCATCTAAAGCAAGATAATGAATAAGCATATTTCCCAAAACAAACAAACACAAAATTCACATGACAGTATTTTAACCTTTTACTTACAATATCACTGGGGTCGCAGTGGTCTATCTGCCGGTGAGATGTATTTACGTCTCCTAAAACAATCACGTGACTGAAAAATATAACAGAAAAAAACAAGAGGAGAGGGAATAACAGAATAAGTTGCAAACACTCTCATGATACATTGTCCAAACTAAGTCAGTCATCTGCCATACGTCATGTTATCTGTCTATCGAATGCAAGAATTAAGTATATAATGTTAATTTTACCACATTATAAACGGCTTTAAGTCTCAGTGAAATGTAATGACTAATGACATAAAACATAGACAGCAAGGTACATACATGCCATTAGACACATTGTCAAGGCTAGTAAAAGAGTGCTGTGATAGAAATTTTAAAAACAGTTTCATAGATAACATGTCTGTGGCAAAAGCAGGATACACCTGTAACCACAATCTCTTCTTTTATTTTTTTTTTCAGTATGTGGAAACTTTTCTGAACTCTCACCTCCCATCTTTTAATATAGCTTCAGCCCGACGCTGAAGAAGCTTGTAGAACTGCAGTTTGAACTGCTTCCGCTCCGGCTTTTCAGGGTCAGCCCGTGGACAGTATACGTTGATTACAGTGACAGTTTGCTCTTTGTCCTGACACCTGTTGGGGGGTTAAAAGTAGGGTCAAAATAATAATAGGCACAGACATCTACAATTTACAACTATTTTACAAAATAAATCTCTCATGTGGTTCTTTATCAACAATAACATTTTATCGATGACTCAACGGGTTCAACGAACACAGGAACAGAGATGCATAGCCAACACAGCACATATAAGATGCTTTGTCAAAGAAAACCTCAATGTGGAATATTTTTCTCTTACATGATTGTGTGCTGTGTGATAACGGCTCGTCCCTCATTGTCCAAAAGCTGCAGCTCCTCAGCAGAGAACTCACTCTGGTCACCGTAGCATCCCACAGCCCCCTCCTCATGGTTGGTCAGCAGACCTGTGAGACCCTCCTCAGCAGCAAATGGAGTGGCACTGTCTTTACAGTAAGTGGCGACCCCTTGTGCATGTCAGGAATGGGAGGGGGAATTAGTTTGTATAGTGTGGCCAGCTGCAACTACAAAGCAGGTGTAACAGTGTGGAGTGCCCATTTAGTGAAGTTAATGATGGCTTTACTTTGACTTTACAACAGTGTGTCTTGTTGGTTGGGTAAACTTAATACAACTGGGAAAAAGGACGCATAGAGAAAAAAAGCAGTGCTGCCATTAATCAAAGATAGAAAATGAATTGTTATGACAAGGTAATGAACCTGAATAGCCGCTGCGTCCTCGACTGAAGCTGAAGTAAGAAGTGTAGCCGTCAACAATGGCAGTTCTTTCATCAAGTAAATCTCCTGTTGGGGAACACATTTTGGGGGGTTTTTAACTTACATTTCTGTCACAAGGGCAGACTTCATGCTCATAAAGCTAACCACTTAACTCACTTGTCACTTTTGTCTCTTGAACACAGACAATATCCGCGTCCAGCGCATCGAGAGCCTTTTTAATGCCGCCCCTGAACGTCCTAATGCCATTAATGTTCCAGGTAACGATCTTCATGGTGTAAAAACTCACAGCTGTTTTCACTGGAGACCCCGACGCTGAAGAGAGAGAGAGAGAGAGAGACGACCCCGCCAGCCAATGTGCACAACCGGAAGTAAAAAGAAAGGGTACGAGCGGAAGTGTGTCTTTCACCACGAATTTGTCATTATTCTTTTTTTTTTTTTTTTTTTCTGATTGTAGACACAATAAAATTAGTTTTTTTTTTGTTGTTGTTGTTGCATTAATGTTTAATAGCAATACCATACCCAACTCAAATACAGAGAATAAGGACAGTGTCTTGGTGTAATTGCATTGCGCCGTTGTCGAGCTAGAGGGGGTAATCGTGCTTTCACGTTTTCGGCGCGCTTTCGACCCGACCTCTCTCTCTCTCTCTCTCTCTCTCTCTCTCTCTCTCTCTCTCTCTCTGTGTGAAACGGGAGAACCGGGTGGGAGGAAGGTGAAGCGGCCGTTTCGGTAACCTGGGCTGGTATCCCCTGGCTACTGTCGTGAGCAGTAACCGTCGCCGCTGACGGTTACCACAGGAGGAAGTGCGCAGTTAACGTTCAACCGGCGAGCTCCGTCCTCGACCAACGGGTGAGTAGCAAGTTTGGTGGCTAACGGTCGCTATCTGTTCGTTAGCTAATTAACGGACGTTATCAGAGGTAGAAACTGCCAAGTGAGTCGGGGTAATCGATGTCGGACAATCCCGCGAAGCCTTTATACATTTAAAGCTTATTAGGAAGCAAACTTTAGTTAGTTCGTGGTGTAATTTGCTGTCTTACATTAAACGTTGGGCTAGGACTACTCTTGCTAGCTGTCCGTGTCCTGTTCCCAGTCCGGTGTCGTGTTAGGTTTCTTACTTTCCATCCTTTTAGGATGCCAGCTTGCAAGGGGATAGATGGCTTCGCTAAAATATTTACAGGTCATTTCTCCTTTTATTTTACACGCAGTTGAGAGTTAGTTTCTGGTCTATGAGAAACGAAACAGATGCGTACGGGGATGTGCATCATTTTGCACCGGACAACCGGCGGATGGTGTTTCCATCTTCGGTCAAAGAAGAGGACATGAGGATCCGCCCCACCCAGTCAATACGGGTGTTCAAAGTAACCTTAGTCGATATTGTTTCCACGGCTACTTGGTGGAGGACACTCGGGGATACTACGCATCAACAACCAGCTGTCACGACTGTGTAGCTACCATTAGCTGTCGGCTTATTCTGAGGAGATGTAACGTTGCTGATGTTGACTAGCAGTGTATAGGCCAGCCTCGCATCCTGGTGTAATAGTGGCAGCGTGCTAACTGTGTGGAGTTGAGGAGTCATCAGTAACCATCTTTAGATACCATGGGGTAATGAAATGCCTTTTTAAGGCCCACAGCGTTTGTTAGAACTGGTGTTATAAGCAGGGTTGACATATTTGCAAAAGTGCAGCAGTTAGGTAGTTTATGGCTTGGATTAGTCTTTTGGGTTGAAGGTAGAAATATTCAACTAATCCTGATTAATCTTGCCCTATGCAGTTTGCTTCAAATGGTGTCACAATGTGATTTATACAAAACCTCTTTGCCATCCTGGCTGGTCTAAGTAGTTTACATAACCACCATCTTTGTGTTTTTTCCCTTTTGTAGTGTGGAGTAATGAGAGAGGAGGAGTGAAGGAGGCAGGAGTCCCAGTAGAGCATTGGCAGACAAGTGGGAGGCCAGGGAAGGATGCTGGAGGCAGATGCAGACCCGGCAGGTCAAGCAGTGGAAGGAGAAGGGGAGGCAGAGATGGGGAGCAGAGACTTGAACTCTGAGGTGGTGCGGCTCACTCTTGAGCTCCAGGAGGCCACAGAGGAGAAGCTACAGGCAGCCCGTTATGGCCTGGTGGTGCTGGAGGAAAGTTCTGCTCTCAAGCAGAAACACAGGCAGCTGGAAGAGGAGCATGAAGCCCTTAAAGCAGAACTACAGCAGCTCAAAGAGGTAAGACCACCCAAGGCCTTCTAGACTAGTTATATTTAGACTTAGCCTTGTTTTTCTTTTTGTACTACACAGTTCTTTTGTCTTTTTCCCTTTTATAAATACCAATGTTTGTCTTTACATCAAATTGTTTTGGGTGTAATCATGTGCTGTTTATAATTGAAACAAGCATTTCCTGAATTAAAAATTCCCAGTGACTGTCCCATGAACACAAGATTTTCCATTATGATGCATTTCCTGCATTGACAGCTTTGATCAGTTTTAACTGGTCCAGCATGTATAATGGATTTTCACAGAATGTTCTTGGATTTCACTTTTTTCCTCCATGTTGAAAACAGACTACAGTCGGAATAAACATAACAATGGCTGTGAGCTTTATATATGATAAATACACAAGAAAATATAATGTACTGGTGTAATGTATTTAAATGGGTAACATTTCCTTGGACACAAGGTCTCTATCAATGTTGCTCATTTTAATTTAACAGCTGATGAGCTGCCTTGTGGTGAGTGTACCTAGTAGTCCTATAAAGACACCATTGTTGTCTTTTTATATGTACCAGTGAGCTATGACATGAATTTGATTGCTCATTCCTCAGTGGTTTTTGGTAGTTCTCACTTTCTGCTACCACAATAACAGTTCTGTTACAGCTGTGATCTCATATTATACTTTCAATGAAGATGCTTGTCATCCCAGGCTGAGTCAGTTTTGCTCTCATATGTCATCTGATGCTGATGGCGTCAGAGGGTAGAGGCTGTTTAGTGAGTAGGGCAACCTCCACAGACAGTTAGTAAGCATATCCGGTGCTTTTAATGCATCACATTGTCTCTGTTCATCTTAAACTGATTTCGATACTTAACTGCATAGCATCATGGGATTAAATTAGGTTAGCACCGGATAGTCATGATAAAAAGATTAGACCAGTATGCCAAAGCTCAGATAATCATGTAATCCAAGCCTTTGACAGATTGTATTGAAATTGTGACATATGCTTCTTATTGCCTTAGTGTTCTATTATTAATATGACATAGTGCTGGATGGGTTAATATTGCTCGGTCATTGTTAACTTTCACACAGATGTCCCAGATGGACCTCGAAGGTATTTAGTATTGCTAGAGCAGGCTTTTAAAAACTGGTTTATGTAAGAAGGTAATCCCATAAAATTCAAGCTTATCATGTGGGCAGATTTTTGGTTTTGCAATTGTTCCACCCGCTTGTTTTAAATGTAGAGAGAAAAATGTTTAAAATCTCGCTTTCAGGCTGATATTTAACAATACATATGTGCCAGAATAACACTGAAATGGGTCCGCACTGATGTTTTATAACCACATATCAAGCAAAGCTCTTTATGTCTTAAGGGATATAGTGGTACAGAATTTCAGATATTTTTAATAATCTGCATGAACCTAATTTCTTGGCTGTTTACTTACCTAGGCTTTGGCAGGGTTTAACAAAGCAGAGTTGACTCATGTGTTATGAATTAGCATCATTATATAACTACACCACGATGTTCAGTTGAGCATGTTTAGTAGCATGTTCCTTTCATTTCACACCTTATTTGATAGTTCTTTCAGCAGCAGTCATTGATGCATAATGGGTTACCAATTATGGCAAGCTGTGAAGAAATGCTTGCTATTACAGTATTAAGTCTAATGTATTTGGCTTACTGTATCAGATTGGCTAGATATAAATACAGTGTCAAACAGCGTGGAAGCTGCTGTTAGGGTATCTTGTTGGGGCGGCTGTGGCTCAGAGGCAGAGCGGGTTGTTCCTAAATCGGAATGTTGTGGGTTCGATCCCCCGCCCCTGGTGCCACATGTCGAAGTATCCTTGAGCAAGATACTGAACCCTAAATTGCTCCATTGTGAATGTGTATGAATGTTAGTTTCTGTTCGATGGACTTTGCCTTGACTGAGTGAATGTGTGTGAAAGGGTGAATGTGACACGTAGTGTAAAAGCGCTTTGAGTGGTCGGAAGACTAGAAAGGCGCTATACAAGTACAGGTCCATTTACCAAACCTTGACAGCTATTTCCTCACTGTGATCAGATTTAAGGTGATGATTTTCAGTCCCAATTTCCTTGTTTTGTTAGAGATTTCCACATTCCTTGCCCTCATATCTCTTTAGTCTGCACTGCAAATGTTTTACCAATGTGTAACATGCTGTAGCCTTCTAGATACTGCACATTTTGCCGTTCCCTCAATCCTTTTTGTTTCTGTATAGGCATTTGCTGATTCTGTGAGCAGCCAGAAACGTGCAGCTGCTGATGGAGAGTGCCGGGAGGAGAATTTGCTGCAGGAGACAGCCACTAAGGAGGCTGCCATGGCAACCCGCATTGAAGAAGTCCAGGCAGAGCTCAAGCAATCACGCCTTGCTCTAAGCAATGCCCATGCAGAGATCGATAGACTTGGGGTGTTCACCACCCAGCTAAAGAAGGTATGACAACCCGCTCAGTACAGCTTCACTGGTGCTATACTGTATACAATTAGCCCATGTCTCGTCATGATACATACAATGGAACCCTGAGTAACTTTGTAGCCTCACTAAAAGTAAAATGAACGTGCATGAAATAAATTTGGTAATTGTGTATTTGACGGTGGGTTGTGTTCTACAGGAGTGTGAATGTCTGGAGGCAGAAAAGGGCCATCTGAGGGATGAGATGAAGGAATATAAAGTACGTGAGTTGCGGCAGTTGCAGGACAATGGCGAGCTAGAAGATGAGAACATATCTCTGCAAAAACAAGTGTCCGTGCTCAAGGAAAACCAGGTCAGTTATCACTCAAGCTACAACTTTATCAAATATGTACAAGTTTTACCCACCGGCTCTAAATGTAAATAAGGAATAAAACATTTAGATATCCAGAATGGCTAATATTTAATTGAATATTGTGGAAATATACAGTAATGGAGAAAAATGTGTTTATACAAACATTGTACCATCTTATGGTTTTTTTCTGTTTGTTTTCCTATATGTGTTTTTGGACTTGTATACTGTTTCTGAATGTGAAGTAGATATAGGTGGTTATTAACACAGGATAATATGGCCATTGTTGTAGTGAAGGGGTTCCCTGCGTCCAAGGCCCCCCGAATAGCATTAGCTTATGGCCCCCTCTTGCAAGAGCTCTTTAAAAACCCATCAACAATACTGTGGCAAATGTAAAATGGTGCTAGAAAGCAAGCTAGTTTGATACATTAGCATTCATATATATATATATATTTGTTATTAGCAATTTTTTGAGACACCACCTGACTGCCCTGATTGTATTTACCTTTCCTGCATGAGAATGAAACTGCTTTGTATGCAACAAGCTTCTAATCTCCCTCACACAGTTGTTGACATAACAACTGGAATGGAGAATAGCCAGTGTTGAAGAGACTAAACAGACCAGTTGCTGGATGATTTGAGTTGTTTCCTGAAAATGAAGTAGCCCCCACAGCCGAGGACAACAATCCTTCTCTTGATTACTTTTTTTTTTTGTGTGTGTGTCAGTGAATTCCCAGAACCAGACATCATGTCCAAGGGAGCATTGCTCTGGCAATATGCTGGAGGAAAAAATATATATCAATAATATATGTCATATAATTATATGTCAGAAATCATGTAGCATCCAGCAACTGACTGATAGCTTGCTCATTGGTGAGATTATTTTGAACAGGCATTTAGTTTTGTTTGAAAATTCTCAGAATTGTTGTGATTATACACATCACATGCATGTTATGTTAGCTTGCACATGCAGCAGAGCACCACAGAGTACAGTACAGTTTAAGGCTGGGCGATAAGTTACAAGTTGTTAACATCTCAAATGTCACTCTGTGTGCTTACAATGCTCTGCAAACTGTTGTGTCCTGCATGATAAAGGATGCTCAGTGTTCTTGTGGGTTGTTATGTTATGCAGTTATGTAAAACTTCCATTGTTTGGATTCCGGAGGGTGTGAGATATTTGCTTCCAAGTGCAAATGTGCGTTTTGTGTATGTTGCAGCTCTGCCAAGAGAAACTGTCCATGACTAGTTCTAAATGTAGGGGAGGTTTGTTAGTATTTGCATGATCCGTTAGTTGACCTTTAGATAAGAACCTAGTCTTGCTTTTACAGTCTCTGATGTCAGAAATCCTTTTCTGTTGTTTTACATGAAAACTCCAAATAACACTATGGACTCCGAGTATCGGTTTTAATTGCATGTTGATTTTATTGAAAAGAAATATACATGTTGTTATTTTATGTATACTGTATGTAAAGCGGTATGGTAAGGTAATTTATTTTATGTGTCATGCCCAAAAAGGTCCCCGGCCCACACCACAGACCTAACAAACTAGAGCAATAACATAATGAGACTAAAGATTAAGTAAGGCAACTAAATGAGCCAACTGGATGGAATCGTTACAGAAAGAAAATATATAGGATTTAAACTACACCGGTGGGAGGAACTGTATATGTCCATTTCCAAGAGAAAGTAGAATTGTTGATGACCATGGAGCCAACATGTGTAACCGTAGCACTATTGTGCTGAATGGAGTGATCTTTATATTTATGTGTTGACTGTAGAATGTGTACCCATATGTGTTTCATACAACACTGAAACATAGAAAGACCTATTAAAAACAGCCTTCTGGTTGTGCTCCTTGTTACTTTCAGGTTGAGTTTGAATCGATAAAGCTCGAGCTGACCCAGAAGAATGAAGAGCAGGAGGAGCTGCGAGCTCAGCTGGACGAGGCAGCAAGGTTGAGAGAAATAGCAGAGAGGCAGCTGGATGAGGCCCTGGAAGCCCTGAAGGAGGAGAGGGAGCAGAAGAACAGTCTGCGTCGAGAACTCTCCGCCCTGACCCTTAACCCCTTTGATTCTGTGGGTAACCTGGAGCTCCACTTGGATCAGCTGGACGACAGCCAGGAGGAGGGCCAGGGGGGAGAGGGAGACGGTGAGGGTGAGGGTGAGGGAGAGGACCAGGACAGTGGCTTTAATAATGGTCCTGGCTCTGCTCCCAGTTCTGCTCACCCTCCTCACTTGGGGGGCTCCAAAAGTAATGGCCTCATCCATCGCTACTCTACTCCACGCAACAGTGACGTGTTCCTGCGTGCTCCAGCCTCTGGGCTGGTGTCGGACCTGCTGAGTGAGCTACACTTTTCAGACAGTCAGAAACTAAAACAGCAACTCCTTCAGGTAGGCAACAATATATGCCACTCTTCTAAATGCTTACAGATCAACAAAATTAAAATGGTATTATTTCCTTGTTATTATAGTGTTGTAGTAAATCAGTGTCTGCCACTTTCACTATGCTATTTCCTACCCTGTTTATGTTTAGATGAAAGTGCTCTAATCAGGCTAACTTAAAATATATCCACCTTTTAATAAGCTTAGTGAGGTTGTCATGCAGGTTTGTTTTAGTGTCTAAGCCAGCTGACAGGGATGTCTGACGCTTCCTGTCGTAGACCACATCCGCTGTATGTCAGTGAGGTAGTGAGCCTTTCTATATTAATAAAAAACACCTGCCACTACATTGCAACATCTACTTCACCAATCAGTTTAGTCAGCTCCCACCTGACACAGTTATGCTCCATAAACAAAGGATACTTTGTTAAATTAAGGATGCCTTGAAGCATCCCGCTGTCTGAAGGAAATATATTATTTATGATGCACTTAAATTGGGGGTTGGGTTAGCAATGTCCTACCCACCAGATGTTGGGAGTGTGGAACTGAATGGGGTCAGCCACTATTTTACATAAAAAATGCATTAAGAGCAAAGGTGGTTGGGGGAGAAATTTACAGAGAACTGTCCTTTTGATTTATGGAAAATAATCAACAATCAGTATAGGCCTGGATGATAATTCAACTAATGGGCAACTTTAAGTAATTTGAGTACATTTAAGATTTGTTTATATGTTCATACCTTGCAAGATTTTAATTATTTTCTTGTGTGTGCGTGTATGTGTACCCAGGCCGAACGAGAGAAGGGCAGTCTGGTTAGCAAGGTGGAGGAACTGCAAATGCAGCTGGTAATGTCTAAACAGGCACTCAGTCAGAAAGAGGACAAGGTTGGATCTCTCACCCAGCAGCTGGAAGCTGTTCAGAGCAGCCAGCAGCACAACCAGGAGGCAGACGACAGGGGACATGATGAGACAGAGAATGGAGATGGTGGAAATGCTGTCTTTGACTATGAAGTAGACACCAAGAGCAAGGAGGTGCTGGAGGCACGCATGCGTTCAGCCAGCGAAGAGCTTCTGAAGCTGCGGGATGAACTCTCTCAGGCAGGAACTCGTTATATCACCCTAGAGCAGCGATACAAGCAGGAGAAGGATCGTTGGAGGGCAGAGGCCCAGGAGCTGGCTGACAAGATCCGTCAATGCATCAAGTCCAGCAAGCAGGACCAGGAGCGCATTAGTGAGCTGGAGAAGGAGATTGGAGCAACACGAAAAGTGGCAATTGATTCAGAAGGGCACTTGAGTGTCGCCCAGGAAGAGCTGCTGGCTTTCTCTGAGGAGCTCTCCAACCTCTATCACCACATCTGCGTGTGCAACAATCTGACACCCAAGCGAGTCACCCTAGACTACTACCGGGATGGTGCCAGGACAAGTGGTGGAGGTGGTAGTGCACGGAGATATGTCTACCCCCAGCACAATTCCCAGAAGAAGCCGCGAGCTAACGACATGTTCGTCTCAAAAGCTTCAGCATTGCAGTTTATGGGGGAGGTGGACAGTGCAGGGGCCACCGGAGACTCTCCAAGCTGCCCAGGATCCCCCACCCTGGATTTCAGGGACCCTTCCAATGTCCGCAACTTGGTAGCAGTCATTCGTTGCCAGATCAAACACCTTCGGGTAAGACAGAACTGCTTATCCCATACAGTACGCCAGGCATTTATTGCTGTTACTACTACTAGTACTTGATTGTTTGTGAACTGAAAGTTATAACTTGTATAAATTCTATAACTCCATCATCATGGCTCAACTACTAAAAGACAGGCTTTTGTTCTGTGTGTAGGTCTTGACTCCTTCACAGATGTATTGCTGAACCTAATGCTCAGCTCAGACAGTTAAATGTAGTTGAGTAGCTCCCGTGTCTGTTCAAATCCAACACCTGATGTGGGCCTTGTTGTCACGTGTGTTTCAGTTTGAATGGATTGGATTATCAGGGTTCAAAGTTGAGTTGGGGCCTCCACTAAAGAATCCTTTCAGAAAACAAACTCTGTGAACTTGTGTTTTTATGTAGTGAAACACACAGTTTAAAACGTAGTTACTCTTTCTTAACATCACAGGTGTATATTACCATTTTACAGATATCTTGAACTTAATTTAAACATGTTTAACAGATTGTTTGTTTGTTAATGGCCATTGTTGATAATGTGATATTCTGATATACTTTACATTAAAAAGACAAAAAAAACAAACACTGCAATTAGGGATGCCCCAAATCCAATCTCAACTATCAGTCTCGGCACAGATCAAGGCATTTTTTTAGCTGATCAGTATTGGCAATGTTGAGCTTTATTGATCCGATCAGATCTTTTGTTTTACATCAGCTGTTGTTACTCACAGTGCAGCCATCTTCAACTCTCTGCTGTTTCTTTCCTCCACTCTGAGCTCTGTGTGTGAGTGAGAGCAGGAGCAGCCCCACTCGCTGCAGAGTTTCACCTCGGGCGGGGCTGCCTGTGCTCTGAGGAGAAGAGCTGTAGAGATCCAACAAGCTTAACTCAAACTCAAGTGCAAGTGCAACAAAAGTCCTGCGAACAAAAAGCCAATTGGCGCAAACGATGAATGTAATCCATACAAAAGATGTTCAGACAATGGAAACACTCAGCTAAATACAGTTCATTCAGGTAACTCAGGCAAAGGCTGCACTAAAGCACCAATAGCGACAAGGCAAAAAAGATTACAGAGGGTTTGTTATTTTATGCTTTATTGTGTAAAAAAGAAAACTTTAAGAACAGCTTTGATGCAGGCATTGATGCAAGTACAATGCATATTTAATTGTCAAGCATACACACTGGATTAATGACTTGTGCACTGTGTAATGAAAATACAAGTATCAGATCAAGACACAGTATCGGCGGATACTCAATATTTAATGACTTGGATCGGGCGCTAAGAAACCTTGATCCGGACATCCCTAACTAACTAACCAAATACTATAAGACATAGCATTTCCCCATCCTGAAATTTTGACGTTTAACACACGCTTATTTTTACCGACTCTTCACTTCTCTCAGGTGGCAGTGGACCTCTGTCGTCAGAGAGGCGCAATGCCTTATTCAGGGTTGAGCAGCAGCGGAGAGTCTGAGCGGGATGCTGAAAGCCTCATGGAAGAAGTACTAAAACTCAAGTCCCTTCTCAGCACCAAGAGAGAACAGATTGCGACCCTTAGGACGGTCCTCAAGGCTAACAAGCAGGTAGGTCCCAGCACGCACTGGCTAGTCAATGTTCCCTTCAATCTCTGTTTAAAAACAGTTGTAGTCGAACAGGCTACTATTCTGCTTTAGGGAGTCGCTCTGTAAACCTGACCTGTGAGGGACTTTCCCTAAAATGTAATCTTCTAATGTACAAGGTCAGTTAGTGGATTTTTTGTTGTTGTTTGTCATTAAAAAGAAGTTAGTTTTGGCTTAAATATACTAAAATGGAACACCTCCCCTGATACAGAGAGATTGTCTGTTGTGAAATGAAGTCTTTCTTCTGCTGCCAATATTTTTACATACTCTCTATTCAGCACTTTAATGTTAAATTCGTTGTCCTGATGACGTAAGAGAGCAAGCCTTCACTATTATCCATGCATAATCTCAGCATAAGCAGTGAGGTTGACCTGTATAATCAGTGTCTTGTCTAGACAGTCCGTTGGCTTCACATAGTCCTGCACCTTGAGTACTGTGTGATGTTGCACTCCTCAGAGCTTGAACTCTTCTACCCCTCCCCTGTCCTGGGCCTCAAGCATTGCGTGACCTGCTTCTGTCATTCCCTTAGCTGTCACTCTCTCTTTCACACATAAACACTCAAGGTAATCTGTTTGGCTGGGCTGTGCTCACATACAGTAGTTTACCTTCTCAAGTCTGATTTCTAGGACTCTAGGTTCAGTTCGTTGCTCTGATGTAATCACATTATTTACACGTGAGACTTTGCGTTAATGATTGCATTCAGTGTTAAAGGTGATCATATTAAAGGGACAAAGTGAAGTCAAGCACATGTACAGGTTACAGGTTTTCAGTGAATAAAGTCTACAGCTTCTCACGACCAAAGTGAAACTTCCATTCTGGCTACCTGAACAGGACAACTATTTTTTAGAAAAACTAATGGTTACCTCTGTGACCCAAGTGTATGCTAATGCAAGAGAACCACAAACTGGGACTGGGGTCTCTCTAGAATTTGTGGTGGTTAATGACGGTCAGTTTGACATAAGTGCATTATTAACATATTCCATCTATCCTACATGATAATACGCATTTTAACACCCCACTTTGAAAGGGGAATGATGGTGCAATGATCTTTTTTTTTTTTTTTTTGTCAATGTAGACTGCAGAGTTGGCGCTGTCCAATTTGAAAACCAAGTATGAGACAGAGAAGAGCATGGTGTCAGAGACCATGATGAAACTGCGGAATGAGCTCAAAGCCTTGAAGGAGGACGCCGCCACTTTCTCTTCACTCCGAGTCATGTTTGCCAGTCGGTAAGATTTCCTCTGAGGGGGAGTTATATATATATTTAACACTGTTATAAAAGAAAGACTTCCATTTATTTTGTCACAAGACAAAGTCAATTTTTAATTAAATTTTTAATTTATAACATTTTAATTAGTTCTCTCTTATCTTTGCCACTTTTCTAGTGTTGTCCATGCTTAGTAATGGTGCTCTTGTTGTGGTACAGCTTTTGCTACCACTCGTGTAATAAGCTTACCATGCTTATTACGCTTGTGGACAATCCACTGGTTCACGTGAAGATTATGAACCACATGCTCTGCCCTGTGCCGATGGGGGAGGAGGCAAGGACAGATTTGTCCCATCAAGCCAGGTCACCTTAGGGAAGGAGAAGCCTAATGTCGGCGGGAGACGGGTGGCACATTAGATAGGGTGGGAAGGTGCTGTCAAGGGTTAAACTTGCAGATCACACTTCACACTTCACTCACTAATCACTAACCACTTCTGAGAATCCGTGGGCATGGATAATTGATTGAAGGAGTGTTTTTGTATTGGGTTAATGAGTGAACTAATGTTTTTTTTTTGGCTTTTTCTTGCCTTTTTCCTGTTTTTGTAACGGACAGCAGCAATTAATATTTGGTATTAATTATCACTGACGTTTCTTGGACATGCATCACCTGTCTAGGCCCTCTCCAGACAGTTATGAGCTGGCATATAATTAATCCTTAAGAAGGATTGGAGAACAGACAGTCGTCAAGGACTGCTACTGTCTGTTGCAACAGGCTAAAGATTACAGCTTTAAAATAACCCCTTCTTTATAATTAGGTTTTGTGGTGCCATCATGTGGATGGCTGAAGTGACTGCATTTCTACAGTTTATGGTGATTCACAGGCACCCTTCTTTTCTTTCTCAGTAGTAGTCGATCAACTAAGTATTACATTAAATAATTTTGGCACCAGCTTATCAAATGATGAGGATTTGCAGATTGACCTGGTTTCATATCAATGTAAATTCAATAATTTTGCGATTAACTTACCAACCGGTGTGAAAATATCACTATGTGCTTTGTTAACTTGTGATGGTTTAACAAGTAATTAATTCATCAAAATAAGTGTGTATATGTTGTGTGTCTATGGTGTGCTATAATTTGTTCTTGCCTGCTTGTGCATGTTGCATCTCTCAGGTGTGACCAGTATGTCACCCAGTTGGATGAGATGCAGAGACAGCTGGCAGCAGCCGAGGATGAGAAGAAGACACTGAATTCTCTGCTGCGTATGGCCATACAGCAGAAACTGGCTCTTACTCAGCGTTTGGAGGACCTGGAGGCCCCTCTGTCTCCCCACAGCTTGAACAGCAGCCCCCGCCGCTCCCGGGCCAAAGAGCTGGCCACCAAGTCGGGCCGGGCTCCACGGAGCCCCCGAAGCAGTCCTGCACGCCCCCCACTGAGGAGCAGTCCACGGGCCAGCCCGGTTCTCGGCAGCAGCGTTCCAGCCATGGCCACGCACCACCTGAGGAGTCTAACCCGAAGCCTCCACACGAGCCCTGTAAGAACCCCTCTCTCTCTTTGTCCTGACAACCCCACCCAGACAAGCAGCCGGTCAAGAAGAGGCAAGGGTATCCCACGAGACGCCACCTTCATTAGAAGTCATAGTGTCAGTGATGTTTTTAATGCAGAGTTGAGTCCCGGCTACTCCCCAATGCGTAAAGGCTCCACCAGTTCTGTTAACAGCGAGTTAATGGTCAAAACACAAGTCAGAGATTCAAGAAAAGGTGTGTCAGGCCGGAGAGCTTCGGCCCCTGCACGTCAGGACACCTTTATTACAACTCGCGTTGTATCTTCCTCTTCCTCCAGGCTAAAGTCTTCTTTGTTTTCTTCATCAAATGAAAATCTAACCTCTTCTAAAGCATTGTGTGTATATCCTAACACATCTGAAGCATGGGGTGAAAATAAACAAAAGCCTGATCTAAAACCAAACTTAGATACTTCTGTGAGAAGAAAACAGTTGGGTCACAGGTCTAATTCTGTACAAGCAGCAGCATGCCGTAACACATTTCAGTCAGACACCGTCTCTTCTCAGCCGAATGCTAAATCTTCAGGGGCCCTGACAACCACATCTCTCTCTGGTCACAATCCACCCGGTAAGACCAGGATGACTGGGGTCTGTAGAGAGTCCAGGCATAGATCATCCACCTCCACAAGTAGAACCACTGAGGAATCGCACATTAATATCAGTAGGAGTTCTAGTCACAGAGCTCAGGGCACTCCTGCCAGGGCTCGGAGCTCACACTCAAAATCATGTCGCAGGCGATGAGACAGTGTAGCCAGCAGATCTATTCCCTATACTAAACTACTTTATCTTTATCTATACATTATGTTATAAAAAAATAAATAACCCATACTTTATATAATTTATATTTTGTTTAGATCTAATGCTTATCTGGGTTTGAATTGCTTGGTTTTATACATCTCAGCTTAACTGTGTTAGCTGCTCCTTTATATGTTGTAATGATCTGTTTATGCTTATTAATTACCCTCATCTTTTTCACTTATTTATTTATTTATTTTTTTAGTTGAACTAAATATGTTTTTTTGTCTTTGTCTCACCCTGTCTCTGTAGCGCTGAAACACTCCTTCCATTACTCCAAACCCCCTTCTCTCCATAAGGACCTGTCTTCATGTTGACTCCCTGGCTCCCTCCTCCTTTCCTGACTCAAGACATCCTGTCCATCCCAGATGCAACATTCCCCACTCTACCCACCAGAACCCCAGAACCATGGATTTAAAAAAGTAAAAAAAAAAAAAGAAAAAAAAATCTCTCATCCCGCCCTCTTGGTTTTTCCTGCTTGGAGCGGAGAAACCTGCATGCAGCCTGGAGAAGGATGAAGAGAAATGTGCTGCTCATTGCTCTGTGAAGTCATTGACTGTGTCTTGTCCCAAGTGGATCCAATTTCCATCTGGTCTTGTTCAAGGCTGTTTGTTGTGGTGAACCATTGACAGTATTTATTCCAGAAAGTCAGACCTTCCATGTACAGTATTTACTGTCCTCAGACTCTGATTCAAGGCTATGATCTGTTTTAAGGCTGTATGTCTCTACACTCTTGCCTTTTGTCTGGCACCCTGGTCAGGCCTGTCTGGCATCTTTTAGTCGCTGTAAGCCATTAGATCATCTGTGATAGCTCTCCCAGGTAGTTGTTTTTATAGAACAATGCAGCCTTACTAACAGAACCCTAAAAGTAGAGAGCTTGCTATTGTCTTGAGGTTTCTCCCTTTCTCTGGTGGCGCAGTCACATGCCCTTTTTTATCCTTTGATGTGTCTGGCTCTTTGGCTTTTGCCATCAGCCACACCCTTTAACTATAGGTCAGAAAACATGCCATTTCATTGATGGCAATAGATTAGCCATAAGTCCACCACCTCAGGTCAAACACCGAGTGATCAGATACAAGATTTGGGAGATCTTTAACGTGCATCTTACTTTGCAAACTATGCAGATCAAGTCAGAACAGTGCCTGTATACTTCTTGCTGTTCTTTAGGACTAGGGTGGGGTTTCGAAATGTACCTTCACTTTCAGTTAACAGTGGTTGGCTTTTTTGCAACAGCCATTTAGCATCTCTCTCAACAAGCAGCTTTTGGAAGTCATCTGGGGTGTTAAGTGGCACATTTGCAAGTATCCCATTGGCTAACCTGTTTTTTTGGGCTGAGCTTTAATCAACACTGTATCACATCACTCAAGAATTAAAGTGGCTTGGTTTACCTAAAATTGTTACTAACATGTTGGGCCACACTCATTTCACTTGATTCTGTGGTCATAATAACAGTTCCCATTCAGCCTCTGCTTTTTGTCACTCCTTTGAACCGCTAAGCAACAATACTTATGTTTTGTATTTCATCATTCTATGTCACCATGCTTTTGTGTGTTACCAAAGTAAGCATGTTGTAATGAACTAGTTATTACCCACAGCAAGCTAGTTTTCTTCTCCTGTGGGTACAGCATCCTCTGTTTTCAGTTATGAATGCTAATAGTACTAACAGGCTGCTGTTAGGGCTGCTGCTTGTAGAAGAATTGAAATAAATAACAATATTGTCCCATAATTTTAACATCTAGTACCACGTTATGACTGAAACAAAGTAAATAAATTCTGCAAAACAAAATATTTCAGAGTGAGATGTAACTCCAACATGACATTGCTTTGCTAGTCAGGGTTCTGAAAAGAAAATACACAAAGAAAAAAGATGTGTACGTATCTGTTGATACCCCAAAGGGGGTTGCTTATAGAATGGCTCTGCCCTGGCTCTGCCCTGGCTCTGATATGTTAACATTGGCATTGTGACAACACCTGTCTCATTGAAAGCAGTTTAAACTCAAGTTGAATTGACCTGATGAGACCAAATCATGACCTTTTTTAGGACACATTTAGAAACGGCTGTTTAAACAAAACAAAAAAAAGAGAAGTGATTGCAAGAAAATGTTGACATAAATTTTTTCATCAAAAATTTACATCAAGCTCAACTGTCTTGTGGTTTAGATGAGGCCACATCCTGCTGATTAATATTTTTTTTTTAGTGCCTTGTTTTTGATCTTGTCTGTTGTTTTTAGACTACATCACATTTTCTAATAGAGGCTACTATCAACACTGTAGTTGTGATGTTTCTGAAGGTATGTCTTTTGAGGAAACTCATTGAGCAGTTTTAGCACTGACTAAGGTGATATCTCATTTTGGTAAATTATTTTCACTTTTTAGCCAGCATGCCGTAATGAATAATTTGAAAAGCGCTTACCCTGAAATGAATGGTCAGTATCTATGTTTAATGTTTAAAGTTAACTGTTATTATGAGAAAAGTTACTGTATGAAGATTATGAATGCAGGAAATTTGAGAACATAATGTACGACAAACACTCTAGATTGAATGTTACAATAAGGTTTTGAAAGGGATAATAACAGTTTTTGGACCACTAGGGAAACTGGTCGATCATTCGTGAGCTCGCTAAAAAGTGAAAATGCTTTAACATCATGTCATATTGCTTCGAAGGTTGTAAATAGATTTCTTAATCTATTTAATTCACTCTGTGCAAATGTGTGTTTAATTTAATTACCATTGATGTATAATATTTTAACTGTATTTATGTGTTCTGCATTCTGTGTAAATTGTTCTTGAGGGATGACATGCACACACTCCGCGTTATACATTTGATGGGCCTCAACTTTTTATGTGTATGCAAGTTCCTTTCATTGACCTGTGAACCACTTTTGTCATGAAGAATAAAAACACAGCCAACACTGTATATTGATCCTTGCCTTTTGAGTTCAAGCACCGTATAAATTGTGTGTAACATAGAATATGAAGATGTTTTCAGTTTATTAATTGGGATTATGCAGCGAGCTACTATTGCTCTGCGCTAAAGTTTCTGCCAAATACATGTGGCCTGTCCATGGTATGTGAGGCACTCATACTATAATCTTAATGGATTATTTGTAGTTGTGTGTTGCGTAAGATTTCCAGGTTATAAAATGTAGGTGAAATTCTTCTAAAATATTGAGAGCTGCTAGTTCTCTGAAATTACAGACTGATGACAGATGGATCAAGTCTCTTTACTTCATGCTGCATGGAGAGAGGGTTTGTTCTCTGAAGGGACTTTCAGAGTGCCTTGCCTTATATATCATCAGGTAAACAGTTGCTAACCTGACAAAGTTGACTCATTCATTCAAATGTCAAATACCTCCGTACAATGGTCCTTTTAATGCAACAGTGTAACTGAGTTGAATATCAGCAGATTCTGATCTGACTTCCTCACAACTCAAATACAGAATCACATAGTTATCACCAAATCAGTACATTGATTACTAAATCTACAATGCTCGTTTCCCACATAGACAAATAGAGTGATGATCTAGAAATCTTTGGCAGTGGAAGTACAGCTTTTGACCTATCATTTGGCCCTGCAAGGGATAAAATCTACTGGGCCCCATGACAGGCGATAGCATTATCTTGCCCTGGCCTAATGTACTCGTCAGCTGCCTTTATCAGAATTTATTCTATTTATTGCCAAGTAGGTTTTCACATAAAAGGAATTTGCTATGGTAAATTGGTGCATTATTATAAACATAAAGAAATATAAATAAAGATAAAAACAGAATAAAAAGACAACATATATAAGAAGAGAGACAATATGTAAAATATAACCGTTATTTAAATAAATGGATTCAAGATCTGTACAATTTGCAGGAATGTGCAAGATAGCAGTGTTATATATACTGATATTTGTCCAAGATATAACCCAAGGGATGTGCATTATGTAACACATAAATTCAGGGTGGGTGGTGGGTTTAAGAGTCAGTTGGGGTCCTGGGCCTCGTTGAAAAGGCCAGCTGCAGACGGGGAAAAAAACTGCTCTTGTGGTGGGAGGGAGAGCGAATGATACGCTGCAGTCTGCCCTTGTCCTTGGCTGTGGCAACAGCGTACCAGATGGTGATGAAGGAGGTGAGGATGGACTCGATGATGGCAGTGTAAAAGTACACCATCGATGTCTCTGGCAGGTTGAACTTCCTCAGCTGCCACAGGAAGTAAATCTTCTGATCGGCTTTCTTGGTGAAGGAATTGATGTTCAGCTCCCACCTGAGGTCCTGGGTGATGATGGTACCCAAGAAGCAGAAGGACTTCATAGTTTCATCTGTGGAGTCATACAGAGTGATGGAAGCTGGTGGGGCTGGGTTCTTTCTGTAGTCCACATCCATCTCCACTGTCTTTAGAGTGTTGAGCTCCAGGATGTTCTGTGACCAGATGGTCCATTTCCCACCCGTACACAGACTCATCTCCACCAGAGATGAGCCCAAAGAGTGTGGTGTCGTCCGTGAACTTCAGGAGCTTGACGGACTGATGACTGGAGGTGCAGCTGTTGGTGTACTGGAAGAAAAGCAAAGGACGCAGCATTGGGGAGAATCCGGTGCTGATGGTCCGTGAGTCAGAGACCTGCTTCCCCAGCCTCATGTGCTGATTCATGTCAGACAGGAAGTCTGTGATTCACCTGAAGGTGGAGTCAGGCACACTCAACTGGGAGAGCTTGTCCTGTAGCAGAGCCAAGATAATGGTGTTGAAAGCAGAGCTTAAGTCCACAAACAGGACCCTGAGGAGTGCAGCGGCTGGGAGGATAAAGTGCTGGGTCATGTTTAATGCATCGTCTACAGACCTGTTGGCTCTGAATGCGACCCGCAGGGGGTCCAGGAGTGGGTCAGTTATGGTTTTGAGTTGGCACAGCACAAAGGCGGTGAGTTGTGGAAAGGCCCAGGCTCCTGCTGAGCTGGGGGTGGGGGAGTTAGTGAGATGGAGCCGGTAGAGTTGTTATGGGGGATGGTGTCAGGACTGCTCCCGCTGTCTTTCAAAGTGAGTCCTTTGAAGGCCTTCTCTCATCCAAGCAAAGAGAAGAAACTCTGAAGCTTCACCCAGCCATGTCTCCGTTGTATCTGGCACCACTATTGTCATCTGAAGGCCATGGCTCCTTCAGGTCTCCAACCACTAATTAGCAACCCGTCTTGCTAATGCGAAACTTCAAAGATATGATAATTCGGGGAGACGTTTAGTTGTTGCAGCAGCACAAGGAGAGAAATGACTACAGATGGATGGAGAAAGTAAAAAATAAACAAGAGGAAGCATATAAAACTAAAATAAGAATAAAGGTAAAGATAGATAACAAATTAAGAACAACAAAATTAGGTAGGTAAGTGACGTGAATTGGTGTGATTAAAAGCAGCAGAGTCAGCAAGTCTAGTGCAGAATACATCAGACTAATATATAATATGGTTAAGTAATGATACTTAATAGCTTAATATTTCCATTTTATGCTACTTTCTACTTCTACTCTACTACAGGCAAATATTGTTCTTTTTACTCCACTACATTTACATTACAGCTGTAGTTACTAGTTACTTTACAAGTAAATTTTTTGAACATATTAGTTTATAAAATATAATATATTGGTGTATAGCTCTTCATCCATCCTGAGCAATTAATGAAGTAGATTCAAATTAGCTCCAACTACAAAAGCACCGGTAATAGCACAACAGTCACAGTGGCAATCGATTTCTCCTTTTACTTTTAAAACTTGAAGTACATTTTGTTAATACAACTTACATGCTTCTACTTAAGTAACATTTATAATGCAGGACTTCTACTTGCAGTGGGAGTAGTTTTACAGTGTGGTATTTACTTACAGTAAGTAAAAGATCTAAACAATATATAAATATATATCTATATAGAACTACACTAATGTAAGTGTCCCTCAGTGTACAAAGGTCCTGAATGCATTTTGAAAACTAAACAAAAAATTAAATTACTTTCTGTCCCATATCAATAGATGTTTGTTATGATGACCATAGATACAGTCAGGTCTATGGCTATGATTGGCTGCAGGGACCCCGACCACGCCCCATGAGGGCGTGGCCAAAGTCGAGGCAAGGCTATGTTTTCATGTGCCAGCCTGTAGCGACAGCAGTTTGGGTGTTTTTAGGGGTGTACAAGTTCCAGCTTTAACAACGAAATAATAACAAAAATGTCTCTTAAGACGGTGGGCGCAGCGTTAACCCGCACACTGTGGACGAGAGGAAACACGACTCCTCCGATAGTGCGATCCCCCAAAGTGAACAGACTTTCGACCACATGCAGGGCGTCTGGGGAAAGAAAGCAGGGCCTGGGAAAAACTAAAGAACAAAGTTGCAACACGGACAGGCCCAGCGAGGACGTCCCCTCTTCCAGCGAGCTTCCTCACAGATGTACCACTGGGGATAAGAAGCGACCCAAGGAGCCCGTGGGTGCCCCCGGTGTTACCGGTGTAAGGCGGCGGTCGTACACCTCCAGCACAGCTCCAATGGACAAAAGGTCCTACCTGTGGGCTCGTTACAATGACTTGAAACGGATGGTGCACGGTAAGCAGAGGGGGGGTCCCCGAGTGTCCCTCAATGTATATTTATAGTACGCCAGCATCCACGTCACCATCGTCAGCGATGTTCCTGTCAGTCTCTGGTGAAGACATTTTGTTCATTCGTTTGTTTATCCGCTTTCCAAGTAGCCACATCGGGCAGATGGCACGTTCATGCTGTTGGTTCATCCGTGCCAAACGCGTTTTAGGATAAAAGTTTAATGAAGTGAAACAGCGACAGTAAAGCAGAAATTCCTCTATCAACCAGTGAGACACAGACAAAGACAAAACGCCTGGGTGTATCAGACACGTGTTGTTTTGTTTTTTTCCAGCAATGCATTGTGGTGAGGTGATTTGTTAAAGACTTTGGATTTCATTAACCGGCAATGACTGATTATACTTCAGTTAACAGACCATATGATCAACAGTTTTGATAAGTCAGTATTTAATAATAAGGCACCAAGCACAAGTGAGAGTGAATTAATTTAAGTTTAATTAAAGCAGGTATGAAAAGATGTTTGCAGTAGGAAAGTTGGAAAAACATTTTACAGGTTATATGTTCATGTGTCATTTTAATGTTTTAGTCAACAGATAGTTTTGGCCAATAGTGAAACATGGCTGTTTAGGCTAGGGCAGACCACACTTTATTCCCCCCTGGTATAGGGGAGCTTTCCTAGGACAGAGGGTGCTAATTTTGATTTTGGGCTAAAATTCAGTGTCATGTCATTGCTGCATTTCCGAGTTAAGTATTCAGCTATTTGGAGATGACAGTTTACTAACTGTAAACAATATTCCAGCTATAAATGAAAATACAGGAATTTCATCTGAAACCTTTTAATGTGATCAAACTTTATGGCACCATGGAGTTAAATAGAGTCAGTTTTGTATCAAAATACATTTCAGATCTATTATTATTCTGTCCATATACTTTTAGTGTGTTATTACAGTTGGAAGAAATATTATTATCCTTATATGACAATATTGGTGCATACTAAGCAGATAACATGATTAGAAACAACTTTTTAAGCAAAATGTATGTTTCTGATGTATGATTATTATTACTGATGCAAACATACAAACATTTTGATGTTGCAGCTTGTCAAGGTGGAACTGGACTTTACCTACTTTACTGTTATCTATAGCAATACATCATCATTTATTAACTGATCATATGTTTTTATGTAAAATCTTCATCTGTATGTGAATCTATAGTCTCTAGTTTATAGCTGTTAGAGAGTTAAAAGTACAATATTTGCCTCTAAAATTGGGTGGAGTAACAGTATGAAGTTACATAAAATTCTAATTGAGTGCATGAATGTCCTTTAGTTAAAGTCCTCCACTGGATACATGGCATATTATTATTTTTTCTGTGT